CTAATAATCCTTTAGGTGAGTGTACATGCATGCACCTTCACCTTATTTGAAGAAACTAGATGTTAGTTATCATGCAGCATTGAGGTTTATAACTGGTGCAACAGCAAGAACACATCACTGTGTTGAACCCTGCGGTACCCCACTATGAACACAGGCCTATTGTGAAATTGTGCCTCTAATAACTACTCGCTGCTTCCTGTCAGTTAACTGGTTTTCGATCCAAGCTTCCACAGTTCCTAAAATCCCTGCAGCTTTGAGCTTTAGCAAGAGCCGTTTGTGGGGGACAACATCAAAGGCCTTCTGGAAATCTAAGTAAATCACATCGTAGGCCTTTTTGTGATCAAATATACAGATCATTCCAATATTTTGTGGATATGATTTCATACAACACAAATAAAAATAAATAGTTCTGTATGCTGATCTATTTGTGATTTTTTAAAAACAGATCAGCTGCAGTACGAATTGTTCAAAAATCTACAAATAGGAAGTCAAAAATGTTGGGTTACCATACATCTGGGTTCCCCTGGACATGTCTTCTTTTTGGGCCCTTGTCCAAGCGTCCGGGTGGTTTTTCAAAAATCAGCGGTTTGTCCAGGTCTAGCAGTGCAACCCATATGACCCGGTGTTGCAAATTACAGTGGAGTACCAAGTGAAGGAAAATGCACCAATTTTCAATTTTTTGGCAACCACTCAGCATTTGCAAAGCTCATGTACATCCCCAACTGTCATGCTGCTCACAAGTGATGTCAACTTCTGGAACCTTTGACACTTTATTTTTGTTTTCGTGTTAATAGTGAATTGCATCATTTGTTTGAAGTTGAACAAACTTTAACTTAGAATTTTGTAACTTCTGTTGAAAAAGAGTTGCATACACGCATATTGTGTACATTATAAAACAAGAGTTAACTGTAACGTTTCCATATGTCCATGTTTTCCTCGTTTTACAAGGTGGTTAAGGAAAACTTTCATATTCAAGTTAATATTCATATTCATATTAACTACGAATATGAATATTAACCTATGAATATCCACATATGCATATTAAGTTAATATTATGCATATAACTAACTTATTCATAAGAGAAGTGCTACCTGATTGGTTGGTGAATGTGAAAACTCAGATCCCCTAGCACGTCCTCTATTTCGTCTGACCAAATATGATAATCCGACACAAATGTTACATGATCCATGAATAGAAATGAAATGATCCACATATATGCAAAACCTGTTTCATGTGTGCAAATCACTCTGCATTTTTGTGGATTTGATTTTATACAACAAATTTTAAAAAATTGATATTTGTGGATAGTGAAATATTTCTGGATTATGGTATATATTTGTGGATTGTCTTCTGTAGGTTACAAATAATAAAGTCCAATAGAAACTTCCATATATTGTCACGGACTTGAGAATTTTTTTTTTTAAATGTTACAATTAAATATTTTTTGTGTAGAGCAATTGAAATTACCTTATCCTTAGGGATATTAAAATTCTTAATTATTTTTCGCATTTACGACATGTACTACTTACAACATACATGAATACACATATACATTTATATTATTTACAGATAAGACCATTACAGTGCAAGGCATGCTGATACAGTGCATAATCAGTCATGCTGACCAACCCCATTGGCGTCACAGTAAATATATATATATAATACACATTGATACACCATTCACTCACACATGTACAGCTATGGTCAATTTGGTAGCTCCAGTTCACCTTAGCATATTTTTTGGCTGTGGTGGAAAACTGGAGTACACAGAGGAAACCCCACGATGGTGAGAGGAGAATGTGCAAATTCCACACACATGGAGCCAGGGCAGAGACTCAAACCCTTATTACATTTTAAATTGTAAAGTCTTAATGCGTTATTATTTCTTTGATCACATTAACACATGCAGTATTTTGATGCCTAATTACTTGTACTTTTCTGCCTAAGCACACTACCTCAGTGTAATCTAACAAATGATTTAATAAATAAAAATCACTGTAAAAATCTTTGCAGCAATTTTGTCATCAGAAACAATTCTGCCCCCAAAATCATTGATACCAAAGCTGTCTGCTGTAGTGCTAGTTATCTTAATACTGAAACCTAACTTTTGCAGTGCTTACAATAAGCTAATCTCTAAATCTACGTAGGACCTTCCATTGATCTTTTTATGGTAATCGTATAATCAGGTTTTTTATGTTGACTGAGAGTGGAGCTACAGTGAGATGGCAGCACTAACATCTTACATATCATGTACTATAAAGTGTTTGTAGAAGTTCTTTTTGTGCACTGCTTAACCTGAGCTTTCTCCAGAAAGGACTTTAATATCACTCTTGTACATTGCAAGACAGGGCCCTTGTTAGAAAACGTAACACAGAAGGGCTGAGGAAGATGAAAACCCAGGGGTCGATAATAGAGTTGATGGCCAGGAATCTCAGCACAATGAGATCCAAGTGGTGGCTCTCCTTCCTCTGACCTGCAGAGTTGATATAGACACGGATCTGCAAAACATGAAAACTAGTTATGTGCACAACTTAAAAAAATAAATACTCTGCTTTTGCCTCAAACCAGTACTGTGTTTGCCAATTCTATACCATGAGCAGCAGTGCACTAATCATTTGTACCTTCATTCCAATTTCAGCAATGATATTTTTTACATCAGCCTGCACCGGCAGCGCAGGAAGGTAAAAATGGAGGAGAGCTGCGATAACAGTGAGTGGAAGGATGGAGAAGGTGGGGATTTAATTGATATTTGGGGAAATGAATCTGTTCAAGCTAAACTGGAAGGAACCTATCGTAATAGAGTTTGAAATAATTGCCAAAGAAATGGCACAGCGCAGACACGAAAGTGGCTACAATGCCAAAGAAAAATAAAGAGCCTGAAGTCAAAGTTCAAAGAGGCAAAAGACTCGAATCAGCGCAGCGGTCATGGCCGCACAACGTGCCAATTTTACGACCAGCTTTTTACCCGTGTAAAAACATATCAATGTGCGCATGCGTGATGTTTCAGAAGACCGATGCGTTCACATTACAGTCAGATACAGGTCACTTGTACTTATGAATGTGAACCGTCAAGATAGACAAATCCGATCTGAGCAAAAAATCGGAATTGAACGATGTGGCTGGCAGTGTGAACGTAGCCTTAAGCTGATCGAAATGCCATTGTCATTTTTCAAGGACACAAACCTTGGAGAATAATTAAGCTTTGCAGCTTAATTAAATTGCAGGCTTGCCGTTTATTGTAGAAATGTTTTTTGGTGACTGCATTGAACCATTTATCACAATAAATGAATATGATTGTCTAAATAATACACTATTCCTTAATACCATTGAATGACTAAATGGAACTCGATGGGCCGAATGGCCTACTCTCGTTAGTATAGTTCTTATGTTCTTATGTTCCCATCACTGTAATACAGTAGTAAATGAAAGCAATTATATGAGCAGGCAGCTTTTACACAGCATTAATGTGCAGGTAGTGTCAGAACACTTCATTCCAATTCAAAGCTTCACTCTCCAAAGTGTTTTATTAGGTCCTACTTGTGTCCACTGACAAGATCACGCAAATGATCTTGCACCCATGGACTAGCATGTATTGCACTGTACTATACATAGTGTAAATACTTGTGCAAATAATGTCCGTGATGTATAGTTATCTAAGTGAATGAGATCGTTGGTAACTCACAGGAGGGCAGTTTCAGTACTGTGATGTGATTTAAAGCCAGATTGAAACATTTAATAAATTTCATTCACAGCCAGGAATCATTGTATCTGATTAAAAAACACTTTCTCCTTGGATAGAAAAGGCAGCTTAGAAATTGGTCTAAAATTTGATAAAACTGAAGGATCCAAATTTCTCTTCTTGAGAAGAGGTTGTACTATAGCATGTTTAAAGGCAGATGGAATATTCCCCAAGCTAAAACTGGCATTTATCAGAGCAAATACAATTGGCCGAACAACAACAACAACAAATTTATTTTTGTATAGCACATTATCACAACAGTACATTGTCCCAAAGCGCTTTACAGCATCCCCACCCAAAGCCCCCAGTGAGTAAGCCATAGGCGACA